GTATGTGATGCGAAGATGCCATGAATAGAACACCTGTAGACTGGGCTCTAATCTAACAGATGGCTCTTCTGATCAGCACTGCTGTTGAATACACTACAGATTTAATGCTTCTGTAGGTTAAAGAGAGAGCTGCATATCTTCCCAAAGATGTTTTGGAATTTGTGATTCATGCTTTTACTATTGATCGCTGAACACTTTCTGTCGAGATTGTTTGATAACGTTGCATAACTCAACCGATTGCTCGTGCTGACGTGCTCTAAGCCTTTATTATCCTATATCTAAGTTGGAACAACATTGATATGCTGATGCAAAAAAATGAAATGGATTTGTTCTTATTTCCTGTAACTCTTCCTGGAGGTAACATGATGCTTAAAACCACCCCCTCACATCGGAAGAATCAAGTAAGTAAGGCATAATGTACAGTCAGCTGTCATTATTGCAAAATAAATCAATGAAGCATGACATGACTGCACATTATCTCTCTTATTACACAGCTAAATTAAAGTAAATAAAGGGACATGATGTACTGGCTTGAGTTTAAGTATACAATATTTTTTTACACGTGCCTTAGAGAAAACATTATAAGTGCGGGATGAAACAATGGAACTGATATATTTTTCTGATATTTCATTTCAGTGCAAGTTGCTTTCAGTTATAACAACTTAAACATGCATTTTAGTCTGGAACTAGCCTAAGCCTTGTCTGGGGTAAAAGTCTAGGACATAAAGAGCAGGGACGTGCAGAGAGTTCTTCAGGGGTAGGGACTCAGATGAAAAAACAAAACAAAAAAACATTAAAATAAAAGTCTCCAAATATTTGACCAGCATTATCCATGCTAGCATAATTATGTTTACTGCATAGTAAACGTTGTATCAATTTACATAGACAAAATACAAGTAACATGCAACTAGTTTTACTTACCATTAATGCTACTTTTGGTGCTGGTTTTGTCCAGTGCTTTGTAGTCAATTAACATCCAGATCCAGATCGCTTCATAAATGTAAATTTGTCTGCCCATGTAATTTTCAAACGATTTATGAATGACGTGAAAATTACCACTCCAATTCATAGAGAGAACAAGAAGTGGCTCATTGCAACTCCATTGAGACAAGTGAGGCCCATTTTTAGCGATTTAAAAAAAAAAAATTTTTACATTCTTTTAATTTTTTTTAGGACTCAAACCGACTCAAACAGAGCTTGACGACGTAGATGTGACGTGAGCAAACCCATATGTCTTCTAGTGGCTGTGGCATGAGAAATTTGAATCTTTCTCTTCCGAAACTTGCAGAGGCGGAGAGTGTGAGTAGGAGCTGTCCATGAGCTAGGAGCAGGAGAAACTTTTGCCAGGTATTCTGATTAATTATTTTGTCATTTTGCCTCCACGTTTCCCCGATTGCCCGCGAGCTTCTCCTCCTGTCCATACGGTAATCTCTCTACTGTTCGACAGAAAGTCGCGGGGTTATGACGCAATCGTTGGCCTATTTTTACAAAAAAAAAAATGCTTCTACGGGGCCATAACATAAGCTACAAGGTAATGGAACATTTTATACATTGCCGTGTTTCTTTAGAAATAAATAATGGACAAATGGAGTCTTCAAACGTCTCAGATGTAAAGTTATTCGCTGTCAAAGTGATGCCAAAATGAATGGGAGTCAATGGAAATGCTAACGCAAGTTCTGCTACAAGATGGCGGCTCCCACGAGGCTTCAACTTTCCATTTTTCAACGGCTCTGAGCCTAACGTTCTTCACTGAAAGAACCATAATTTGGATCGAGAGCATCAGTTCCCGAGCAGACTGTGGAATACCTAAGTTATATGTGTACATCAGTGCATTTTCATTTTAAAACGCATAACTTTCTCTACGGTTGCGCCTGCCGTCCACAGAGTTTTGGACCCTCGGAAACGGTGACTGACTGACCTCTTCAGTGAGGCGAGTCTGAAGCAAGAGACATGCAAGTGACGCAACCCAAAGCACGGGTTATGGCAACAACTCAGGCTGACAGAAACGTACTTTTGTATGCATTTTGTTTTATTGACCACATTATTATAATTGATATTTGTTTGTGAAGGGTACTTTTGATTAATTTTGAAAAAATTAGCAGGACTCGTGCACCCAAAGCCCCGACACTTGCCTGTTAAAGAGCTATATGAAATATAATTACAAAAATAACTGTTTATTAAAGTCACCATGGTCCAAAAAAAAACAAACAAAACACATTCTCCTGATGTTCCAAGTGAGAAAATTGTACAAGGTTAGAATGGCGTGAGGGTGGGTAAATGATGAATGAATTAATAATGTTTTGGGTGAACTATCTTTTTAAGGTCACTGCACACATCACCAGAGAAAAAGTCGACATTTTGATTAAACATTACAAGGTCAAAACATTTGATTTATGATGCATATCTATGGATGAATTGTTCACAATAAGATCTGTAAAATGCATTTAGAAAATACACAGGGTGAATTTTCATTTCATGCTGACTTTAAGTATGGACCCTAGGACATGTTGGTCAATGCGTTCATGATACTTCTGTTATGAATGATAGGCATTCAATACCGCATAGAGAGCAGCCTTCAAGATATGGCCAAGGTTTAGATGCTCCGATCTAGATATCCAGGCTTTCACTCCAGAATTGATGCACTCATGCGGAGGAGGTGTGTTTTCTGTGTCCCTGCCTCCTGCTGTGTGTGTGTCCGTGGAGAGCGTGATGTGCTCATCAGAACTGAGTTCTTAATCCCAGGAGATAGAGCCGCCCATCCCCATGAGCTGAATAATGGATGGCCGCTTCAGCGGTCCAGCAATCCACAGCTCAGCAAAGACAGGACAGGACCGGACAGTCTTCCTGTGCTTTCTAACCTCACAGGTCACAGCTAGGAAAACCCTGACAGTGCAAACCAGTAATGCTATTTGAATGCACCCATGTCCCGCTGTTCAATTCATAGAAAAAAAAAAAGCTTTTTAAATGTAGCAAGTTGACCGTAATCATAACACTAAAGCACTATTCCATATTTCCAACCCTCCATCTCTGGCCTCTAATATGATAAGCATGCAGGCAGATGTTTATCCTGCCTAATTCATCCTCCCAGCTGATGCACGGTGTAATCCCTGAGTGTATCCCACTGTGACATCAGACACCGTCTCATGTGTGGTGTGCGAGGATAAAGCAAGGATGATTTCTTTTTCCATCCCGTGAGCTAGCGTATAGCTCATAACGTTGTTATGACAGCACAGCCTCCAGCTAGAGACCATTTGCTTGGTCCCCTGTAATTCCAGGAAGAGGCTGAGTTAATGTGTACAGGTCCTGTTTTTCGGCCGCTTTTACGTTTATCACCCGCTTGCCCTTCATGCAAAAGTCAACCAGCAGAACACATGGTTAATGCAAAGCCAACTATTAACAAAACAGTGAACGCTTATCGGGATAAAGGTGAGTCTGTAGCTGCCAGCACAATCTGTAAATGATTATTCCACA